TTTACAATTCTTTTCTGAACAGAGACAATTTCAGGAAATTTCTGACACTTATCTATTGACCTCAGAGGAAATGGAAAATACAGGTCAACCAAATAAAATGCATCGGGATGGAAGGACGGCAAAGCTTGTTCAGCTTCCACCATTCTGACACTAGCTGCCCGTCCTTCTCCTCCCACTAAAAGAATATTTGATCTGCAATCACAGGAAAAAGAAGACATCAAGTATGTGCAACTTGTCAAGGAATATTCATCAAAACAGGGGTGGTCTTCACACAAGGATAAGCTCTACTCACTAAATCTAACGCAAAGACACCCTCTACAATAGGCTCATTCAAAAACACACAGTGGCTCGTGGACACACACAGCAGCTCTAATGGAACGAACTAGAGCAGGCATTGGTAAGCCACAACATGTGGGCCAAATTCAACCCAAGGCCCGTGTTTATAAATAAAGTTTTACTAGGACATAGCCATGCCCATCCTTTTATTTGTAGTTTATACCTGCTTGTGGGCTGCAATCATAGAACTGGGAGAACCCATCTCTCATTTAGAAAACCACTTGATACAGAAAGCAGTTTAATAAGCTTTGTTCTATTTCTTAAGAATTAGAATACTAGTTCTTAATCCTATTCAAATTATTTCACTTGGAAAGGAGATTTTTATAAAAATAACTAATAACCTTTGATTCAAGTTTATGCTGTTCAGAGAAAAAGTTCAATGACTTTGTTGAGGGCTCAAAATAATAAGAGTTATTTCTGCCTTAGGGCACATAGATGGTTGAAGTCCTTAAAAAGAACATTTTTTACCAGCATAGAACAAAGTGGGCAGGTGAAATGCAATGCTTTTTGCTCTGGACTAGGCCTTCTATCTATAGTTCATTTTCACTAAATGTTCAGGTATCATTTGTTGGTACCTCACTTTTTCCATAAACAGAAGTATGCTCTCTTCTATGTTCTTTCAGAGATACCTCTTGAAAACTAAGCATTTGAAAAGAAATACTGTCCCCCACAAATACTAATGCATTTTATGAGTCAGTCTTTTGAAGCTTAATGCACCTTACAAATAACTTTGTATAACGAAGATTGGGTCCAGCCTTCCAACTCATTTAGATGTTTGATCATATGTGACCTTTTCATCTTACTTTTTAAAACCTTCTTCTACAGAAATACTCAAACAGATGCAACAAATAGAGACTAGTCCCCAGAAATCAGCTTCTGAAGTATGAATATTCTGCTACTTTTTCTACTGATTCCTCTTTCAGACCTTTTGTTCATTTATTATTTGTTGCACTATTTGAAAGCAGACTTCATGCATCAAATCATTTCATTTACGAACATTTGTTTCTGTTAGTCTTTTTCTTTTGGAAAAAAAATGAACACCAATACATACCATAAAATTAGTAATTCTTATCTAATATTCAGTCCAAGTACAATGTTCCCTAACTGTCCCAACAATATCTTTTTATAGTTGATGTGTTCAACTAAAAACCCAGATATGATCACATATTGCATTTTATGGATAGGTCTCTTTGGTCGCATTACATCTGCAATAGATTCCTCTCATTTTCTGTTCCCCCATCACTAGCATACATTTAAATTCTAATTGGCCAAGCAAACCTTACTAACAGTAATGTTTTTCTGGCTTCCATCTGTTGTAAGTGAAGCTAGGCATTCACAGACCTTGCGACCCTTAGGCAGACTCTCTGAGCTCCACTTTCCACATACAATCATGAATAAAAGCTAAGATGCCAAACCACCCCCTCAATACTTTCTGATCACAAGAGAAAGAATTTTGATTGGTTTAGCAAACCAATTCTCTAAAATTAAATCTTTTCTGTGCTGAGATGGCCTGAAGACTGAATGATTTTTAAAACAAGGCACTCATTTGTTACAGCTTCTTTTGGAAATTAGCCAAACTTAATCAAGAATCACAAAGTAAATCAGACAAGCCTAGGAATCCATTATTGTTAACAGTAACCACATTAACTGAGCATCTAGATCATGTAGGACATTGAATAACAAAAAGAATGACCTGTGTCCCTGCCCAAAGGGACTTGCAGTCTAAACCAAGAAGCACTACATCATTTAGACAAAAGTGTCCAAGGAGACAACAGACAGTATTATTCATCCATGTCTCAAACACTATGATAAGAACATTTGTAGCCAAGTACGGTGTTACACATCTGTAGTCCCAGCTACTTAGAAGGCTGAATTGAAGGCGGGAAGGGCATTTGAGTCCAGGAGTTTGAGATCAGGTAGGCAACACAGTAAGATCTCATCTCAAAATAAAAACAAAACAGAACAGAATACAGCCAAGGATGGTGGTGCACATCTATTGTTCTAGCACTCTGTAATACCAGTCCACACAATGCTGCAGAAAAAGGATCTCTAGGAGCTAGAGGCCAGGCTAGGGTACAGAGCAGTCCAAAGCCAGTCTGAACTACATAGTAAGACTCTGTCTCAGAAAACGACCCTCCAAGAGTTTTTATTTAAAAAATAAAAATAAAAAAAAAAGAGTACCTGTCCAGTTGATCTGCATGGTAAAATAAAAAGAACCAGAGTGAGAAGCAACAGAATTTGTCAGCTGTACCAATTGTGAACTGTGCCTCACTAGATAGGTTATTTAACCTGATTCTCAATTTTATCACTTGAACCTACCTCACAGAGTAGCAGCTGTTGACACTGAACCAGAAAATTTTATACGAAAATGCAGCAAAGATGATGAAGATAAAATATTGAATATATACTAATACTGTCAGAGAGTGAACTAAAATGGTTTGTGTACTATACTTTCTAACCCTAACACCAATCCTATAATGCATCTCCTCCTCTTAAGCCATTTTCCAAAGATACTGACTAAACAGGTGAGTGATCCACCCAAGCCAACATGGCTACAGGTGTTCGGGAGCCAAGAAGTGGGTGCCAGCACTTCAGAGTTCCCAAACTCAATCATCGTGTGCCTAATGCCTGTAAATACCTCCAACTGAGGTGTGAGGTAACACCTGAAGCACCATAAACTGGAGGGAGGTGCTCTTCTTGTGGCTCCCAGATCAACCATACTGTATCGTGGCAAGGCACACCACCCCATAGTGCCCATTGCTGCCCAAACCAGAAGCTCCAGGAGGCTCCCAGAGTCACCCTATGCCACTATGGTTTTGTTCAGATCCCTAAGGATGGTTTTCTTCCTTATTAGGAAAGGCTTTCCACCATCTGCAAGGAGATTTAAGCCATTTTAAGCTATAAGTCTCACATACTCAATATTTGTTCAAAGAGGGTCAAAGCAAAATTGTAATTTTTCTGTACCTAATATTTTACTTCCTTCTCATACACAGAAATAAAATAACCCTAAAGAAAGCTAGCTTCCAGCAAAGATCTTCCATTCCCTGTAGCCACTAGGTCATGAGAAGGCCATTCACGCCAAGTAGAGAGGGCATCTATAGTCTTACAGATGTCCAGGACTGGTGTCACCAGTGGAAAGATGCCCCTTTGGAACACTGACCTTTCCTGAGTCCCGGTCGAGACCACAGGAAAGAAGAGAACCTCTCAGTCAATCCACAGAATTATAAGGAAAAAAAAAAAAAAAAAAAAAAGGTCTTGCTTTAAAGCCACTGTGTTGGGGCTGTTAGATAACAGAAATAGCTTTTCCAGCTAGGCCAACTATCAAATCTGTAAATGAGGCACCTTGACTGCAGCTCAACTTAACATGTAATGGAAACAGCTCATTGCTTCAATTTGAGAATATGCACTGGCTGGAACACTCAGCTCCATGACTGGATCTACACTGTACCTGGCTCAAGAATGTTAAACACGTATCAGTAATGATCATCTGATGGCACTTATTTACTGAGTGTTCACAATGCCCAAGGTTCATCTTATATCCTTTTTTCATTCATGTAATTCTCACAAGGTTCTTTGAAGTGTGCTGGTATATGCCCACTTTACACACGAGATCACTGAGGCTTAGAATGATCACATTACTACTAAATAGTGACACAGGGTTTCACACCCTGGTCATCTCAATCCATAACCTGGACACTAAACCACTGACTTCTCTTGCCCCTTCAAGTGTTTACTTTGGTAAACATGTCCCTCTCTTAAAAAAGAGATAATGTAAAGATTTAACAGTACTTTTTCTATGTTAGCTTTTAGGGAACACTAACTCTTGCCATTAAGAAACTTGCAGATGGGGAAGAAAGATGAGAGGAAGTCCCAGACTTTGCTGCGATACAGGAAGCCCCAAACAACTGCTAATTATTTTGGTGGTATAGATAGAACTTCTTCACCAGCAAACCCCCCCAGGTCCCAGGTTTGGTAATTTTCTGTGATATCTCTGGTCTCCCCATGACCTGCGGGCTCCATGAGTGGGGTGACTGTTTCTAATTCTATAAGTAAGGAACCTAACACATGGCCTAGCCCCGGACAAGTTCATGCTCATCACTGAATGGAAAGGATCTGCTTCATTCACCACAAACAGGCCCTCGTCCTCCCAGGATGACGTCTCCTCCTGCTATGAGCTTTACAGTGTCTCCAAGGAAAAGAGGAGGGTAAGAAGGGGAAAGAGGAAGAGGCTGAGGGGGACAACGGGCTCCCAGGACAGGGGACGGAGCAGGCTCTGACCACTCCACGCGACCCGTGGCCAGCCACTCGAGAAGCGCACCTCAGATCGCCCGCACCGCCCAGTCCTCGCCAGGAAGGCAGCCCCAGGCTGGCGGCCACCCTCAGGCGGTGGGCCACGCCTCCTCCAGCTGGGCCCGGACTCGGCCCTCCCGCCCGAGCCCGGGAGGAGGAAAGTGACAGGAAGTCAAAGTTTCCCAAGAGCAGCAGAAGTCCTAAGCTCCAAGGAGAACGCCGCATCCCAGCGCCCAGTGGGGAAGGACCACCACTGGTCCCAGCTCCCGCCGTCGAGGTTCCGACTCGAGGGCACGGCCTGGGGCTCCTCACCACCCCAATTCTGTGTGTGAGAGGGACTGTGGAGGGGCGGGGTCGTCCCAACTGTTACTTACAGTCGTCTAAGTCATCCTGCAAGTTCACAAAGTACAGAGGGATTTCTGAAAACCAAGAGACACACAAGGGTTACGGGGGTCTGCGGCCGGCGGAGGTCCCTGGCTTCCCAAGCGTCCCGGGGAGGGGGAGGGGAGCCGCCCGCCGCCCCAGAGCCCAGCCCAGCTCACCCGCCATCTTGGGATGGGCTTGGAGGCAAGGGGCGGGTCCTCTGGGGGCGGGGTTCCTCTGGGGGCGGGGTTTGTGGGCGTGGCCAGAGTCCCGGCCCCGCCCCGGCCGCCAGCCCCGCGCGCCGGCCGCCCCGCCCTCCGGGGAAGGTGGCTGCCGAGGTGGGCGGGGAGGTCAGGTGACCCAGCCGGCGGCCCAAGATGGCGGCTGCGACGGTGTCCCGGAGGCCGGGGCGGCAAGCCGGCTGCTAAGGCAACTGCGGGCCACTGGCTAGGGCCGGGCCGGACTGACGACCGGGGGACTAGCGGCCGCCGCTTCTGTGCGCCCCGTGGCTGGGGCTGGGCCGTGTGGCGGCGGCGCCGGCGCCGGGGATGCTCGTGCTGGACCGGGCCTCTCCCTTCTCAACTTAGGGCGGAGGCGGGCCCGTGCTCCCGGCTCCCAGGCCATGGCGCTGAGGGAACTCAAAGTGTGTCTGCTGGGGGTGAGTGGCGGCCGGCCCGGCTGGGAGGGCGGCGGGAGGCTGGGCGGGCGGCTGGGCGGGCAGGGACCCAGGCGCCCCGCGGCCCGTGCACCCCTTCCCGCCCGCCGCGGACCCCAGCCGGCCCCGGGCGGTCCCGCCAGCTCGCTGCACCCCTCGGAGGGCCCCGGGCGGGGCAGGACCCTCTCCTGTCCGGGAGCCTGGGGCGCTTCCCGCCCCGGGGGACGAGCCGCCCTCCCTGCCCGTCACATCCAGGTTGACAGGCGCTCCGAAGTAGTTTGCTCCCAACTCATCAAGGTACTAGTTGGGAGTTGGCCAAGTTTCTCAAAGTAAGACCAATAACAGGTCTTTAGCTTTTACAAGCGATGTTGGCCTCTTTTCGCGCCTGTGGGATGATTTCGAACTTGAGGGGCACTCTTGACCCTTCTAGCACAGGTATATTGCAGAGGCGGGGTGTTCAAGCCAAGAAGCCCCAAAGGCTGGCCTTGACGCTTCGGCTTCGCGTCCTGTCCCGGCAGTTTGGCCATTTCAAAGTTTTCCATGCTTTCCTTCCTGAGTTTCTCTTTTAAGATTAAAAAGAACTCCTGTAACTAGTCTTTGACATCTCTCAGGGTGGGGCTAAGGTTCATCCGGGATTACTCAGAACTAATCCTGGAGTTCATAGGTTGCTCACACATGTTTTAGGAAAGCAAGTGTATTTATCACTTTTCTCATGAGGCAGATACCTTGGATCTTTCAAAGAGGTCCTGATCTTTTAAAAATTGCAAAGCTTTTCCCCATTATTAACTGTTTTTGAAATCTCCTAACTACTCCACAGGATTTTTGTGAAGACCACTTTTTTGCCTCTCAGCGTATAAAACTGACACATCCGTGATTTTTCTGAGACCCTGAACTTAAGCCGCAGTGTTCTTTTGGCTAAGTGCACAAGGTTAACTTTTTCTCTGTTGCTCATCTCCGTTCTCTTTCAGGATACAGGTGTAGGTAAATCAAGTATTGTGTGGAGGTTTGTGGAAGACAGTTTCGATCCGAACATCAACCCAACAATAGGGTAAGAAATTAATTTATTTAATGTACACTCAAGGTACATTGAAAGTTCTTTCCAAGGAAAAAAGTATGCTACAGGTAAAGCCCAGTGAATTCTGAGCTGGTTGTTATCATCTCCAAAACAGTGAGACAGTGAGGTTTAGTATAGTTTAGAAAAATTATCTTCAGGCTTGTGGGGAGTGAAAAGTTCAAAATGAATATATGAATTAGAATCTTATTTAGGATTAGAATAAACATTGAGTATTCAGTCTGCAAGTATCAACAGCACTTACACCTGGGAAAGCAGATGAAAGTGGGTCCTGGTGTTCTTTCAGATATGTCAAGTAAAAGATACTTGGATGGTTTTAGTACTTGAAAACAAAGTAGAACACACTCCAAACCCTTCTAATAACATTCCTACACTGGTCGTAATATTGAATCATTGTTGAGATGTTAGGTTTTTTAGGTTTTTGGAGTTATGGGTAATTGAAGTTGACTGCCTATCGTTTGTTATTTTGGGTTTGTTTTAATTCTACAAAAGTATTAATATTTACATATCAATGTTTTTGTGTGATAAGTTGATTTATAGGTTTTAATACTATGTTCATCCTGTAGAATTAAATAACTGCTGTGCTCTGTCATTACCAAACCCAATCAGTCAAATGGTTTTCTCCATTAAAAGGTTCTGTATTATATATCTTTAGAATAAAATATGGCTTTGTACTCTACACAGATCATTCTTTACCTCATAAAGAAATATTTTACAGCCTATGAGAGGGAAACTCCCAGAGGATCATCTACTGAGAAATTATAATCTCCTGTTGTTAGTTTATGTGCTTGGTATTTTTAATATCCACTTTGTCAAACTCTGCAAGCTTCCCTCACATTTGATATTACAGGGATGAAATCTATAATTATTTCTGCAGGTAAAACGTTTTTTAGTATCCTTTAAGAAAGAACTGGGGCCAGGGATATAGTTTAGCAGCAAAGCGCCTGCCTGGCAAACACAAATTCCTGAGTCCAATTTCTGGCACGAAAAAAAAAAGAAAGAACTGGTACTGGGCATGGTGGCACATGCCTGTAGTCCCAACACTCAGGACGCTGAAGCGGGAGGATCGTAGAGAGTTAAAGGCCGGCTACATAGTCGAGACTCCTATCTCAAAAAAAAAAAAACAGAAGAAGAGAGAGAACAAACTGGGTGTGTTCACATGTTTAAAGCATGACCTCATCCTCCTCAGGCCCTACCTGTCACTACCTGCATGGGAAAGTGAAGTGATAGGAAGTGGCAACAGGTAGCACTGGTGATTCAGTAAGTGACACACTTCACACTGAGTCAGATCCAAAAACCCAGAACCCACAAGACACTTAGCTGGCACTTTGATTAGTCTCCAGTGAATTAGAGAGAAATGAGGAATGTAGCTTTTTGAACCCTAGTAGCCCATACTGGGCTTCCATTCTGCCCAGTATGCCCCATGCTGTGGTCCTCAGCTATCTCCGGTCTGTTCTCCACCACGGTGTTGTGGCTTCCATTTCCCAGGAAGGAAGGATGCAAGATTTTCTTCTCTTCCTGCTGTCTTTCCTTGCTTTTCGGTGACCTCCTCCCTTGTGACCAACTCCCCTTCAGAGCGCTGGATCCCTGCTGCTTTGTCAGTTTCCCTGCACTGTACCTTCTTGGTATAGCCTGCAAACGTGTTCCCTGTCCACCTCCTCCCCTACAGCAGCACCCTTCCCCAACCCTGCTCCACAAAGCAAGTTCCACCTGAAAGACAAGCTTTATCAGTGTTGCTCTCACAACACTGTCATCTCACTTCTACTCCACCACTAAACCACCTTCCCTTGGTACCAGTCACAATCCATCACCAAATTCAACAGCTTTTTCTTTAAGCATCGTTCATTGAGTACCAACTATGTGTGAAAAAATGCTAGCTTGGGTGCTGGTGATTTAGATTAGGTGTCAGTAAAGTATGACCTTTTGTTCTGCCTCACTTTATTGAAACAATTGCTTGGCTGGGGATATACCTCAGTGACACATTGCCTGCCTGATAAGGACAAGGTCCTGAGTTCAGTTCCTGGTAACAACAAAAAAGGAACAATCGCAACTGTCTTTGGTATATTCAGGCTATAGTAACCAAACTGAATAGTTTTAACTAAGATCTTATAGCTCATAGAGCCAAAACAAGTTTTCTGACCTCTGATTTAGACAAACTCAATTCCTACCCTCATGGAACTTACCTGAAGGTAAAGATCGAGATGCAATCTGTAATTAATATACTGGAAACAGCTATTCAGCCATTTTCTGTGCTATAAAGGAGAAATGTGACATGATGTGAGACCTTGTTCTGGGGCTGACACAGAGCTAAGAGAAGGTGTCTTAGAAGCACTGAAACTTCAGTTTTGAGAGATGAGTGGATTATATTTCAGTAAAATGTTTGAATTATTTAAATGGTAGAACTGCCCCAGTTGGTAGTGAGATGTGGAAGTAGAAGAAAGCTGGAGCAAGCATGGGGGACAGAGGGGCCATGTGGTGGGAGGGGAGGCCAGGTTGGAGGGAGCCAGAGTGGCTCAAGGACAGTGAATATGATGGCGGCAGAGCTGGGGAGGCCAGTGAGGTAGCAAGCTAGAGAGGCCTGGAAATGGGTCAGGGCCCCAGCTTCTTAGAGTGAAACTGCTGCTTTCCCAGCTGCTCCCCTTCCCCTCATGTCTCGTGTCTCTGATAATGAGCTCAACATCAGTCTTGCCCAAGCTTTGTGATGGCTTCTCTCATTGCTTTCAGTGCTCCTCTCCCTTCCACAGCTCACCTGCACCTGGATAATCTGAAATTGACTTCCTCAGCCCTTTTCCTTGAATCCTGGACTATATCACCGATCCATGACTTTGACCTACTCCCCTGCAAAACTGTCCCTCCTCCACTCTTAAATCCCATTCCCAAGTGCCCCAACTTTGTGTACTGAGGAAGAGCCCATGCCTCAAAGAACCATCCTGTCTGCTCTTAAATCAGGGTCTCAGCCCATCACTCACTTCCATGGAAGTGCCCAAACGCCTCCTCTGGTGGCAGCGAGGCCTGGTTGTGCCTGCCTCATAGATTGCACACAGAATGGACATAGGAAATGTACAGTAAATGATGGTGAAGAGTAATACTACCTTAACTCATGCTGTGATTCCAGCTCTCTGGACCTCACAGTACGTGTGTATGGAGGAAGTCACCCCCATTACACTCACCCTAGTAGTGACTTGTAACCAGTGGAAGCGCACTATGTTACTCAGGTGTACAGGGAGAAAGAAATGGTTGTGCTCTACATGTGCACAAGCCCCACACCAATAGAACCAAATTCTTTCCTAAGAAAAAAACCTATAAATTCTACTCACCGCAGTACCTGTGCCCACAGGTAACCGACAAACACATAGGACTCTACACTCTTTGTGACTGAGCTTCTGAACAAAACATAAGAGCCTTGGACTTTGACTCTTCTTTCCATGGACCCTGTGGTAGGCCAGATAAATAGTATGTCCCTATTTTACTCAAATCAGAAACCTGGGCATCCTTCTCAGATTGTATCCTAACTCTTCTTCCATCCTCCCAGCAAGTAGCAAGTCACGTATGTCTAGGCTGCCTGCTAAACATCCTGCCACGTAACTTGCTGCCATTGCGATGTAGGCCTTTATTGTCCATGCTCACAAGGAGAGACAGACCCTGGGATCTCATTGCACCACACTTGTAACACTTGCTAGCCAGTGAGCCTAAGCAGGTGAATCCTTAATGTGGCTTCTCTTTCTTTTCAATACTGGAAATTGAACCCAGGACCTTTGTACTGAGCCATATACGCAGCCCTTGTTTAGTTTATGACTTTTTTGAGACAGGGTTCAGGCTGGCATTGTTAAACTCATTGTTAAACCCAGGCTGGCTTTGAACTCAGGATGACCCTCCCGCCTCAGCTTCCCAAGCAATGGGATTATAGGCACGTACCACCATGCCTGGCTAAGCTTGTTTTTCATCAGCAAAACAGAATATTGTCCATAGTGCTAGAATTCCTTGAGCATTAAAAATGTTTAGCAAAGTGCCAAGGACCTGGATTCAATAAATGGTGGCAGTTCTTTTTCAAATATTTGTTTTAAAAAAATTTGTCAAACAATGTGCATATGAGTTTTCTTTTTGAGAGAGGGTCTCACTGTGCAGTTCAGGCTGGTCTTGGACTTACTACATAGCTCAGGCTGGCCCTGGAAGCCATCTTCCCTCAGCCTCCCAAGGGCTGGGATTACGGTGTAGGCTACCATGCCTGGCCTGTGCTTGTGGTTTTTAAAATAAGAAAGAATGTTACAGAGCTTTTAAGTTAAATACAGCAGTCCCTGGTCCACTGTGACCCATTTCCTAGAAGCAGTTACGTTGTTGTGGCTTTTGCTGCTTTTTCTGTTCTTTTCTCCAGACTTTTTCACATGCTTATAGTGATATTTTTGATCCTCGTCTCCACTTCCCACCGATTTTAGTTATTATCTATTGATTTTTTTTAAGCAGCGTAGGGACTTAGTCATTCTTCTCACTCTTCCTGCACATTTATTCTCTCTCCATCTTTCCATTACAGTTCTGCCCCTGAGCTACCATGTGGAACAGTGTTTAGAGTACACGCCAGGGGCTCTCCGCCTTCACCTCCTAGCTCTAGCGCTTAGTTACTCTGTAGGCTTCAGAAAGCTATTTAACGTCTTTGTGACTAAATTTACACATTTGGGATACTTTATGACATCTAATTTAGAAAGTTGTGTGAGCTGGAGTTACAGCTCAGCAGCATAAGCACCTGCCTGGCAAGTGCAAGGTCCCAAGTTCAATCCATGGTACCACCAAAAAAGAAAAAAAAAAAAGTGAAAATTGAGTCAAGTGCACAAAATTTACTTAGAATGGCAATAGGCATATGCTAAGAATTTGTTACTTAGCAATTATTATTTATCAATAACACTATATTGAGTTTATAGGTTGAATGGGGGAGCATATATATATATATATATATATATATAATATGTTTATGGTTTGTATCT